TTTTGCCCCCTGTCCTTCTGACCTCTTTAACTGCCAGAGACTTCCGCCTTTCCGCCCTGCGGGCAGGTAGAGGGCGGCTTCAGCAGGGGTGGCGGTCTAGAGACGCAATGTTCTTGGGCGACCACAGATAAGGGATTTGGATCAGGGTGGGGGCCGTGGTGGGTCAAATACCACCCGTTTACCCTTTCGGATTCAAGTGAGGCACTCAAATGAGACCCTCCCTGGGCCACCCCAGCTCAACGGGGCCACTCGCCTCACCAAAGGGGGTAACAACTTTCCCGGTTCTTGAACCTCCAGGGACAGGTTGTGTGCCCTTGCCCTGACAGTCCTGTAAAATGGTCACCAGGAGGAGCAAGCGCGCTTGTTAGGATCCTGTCTTCATGGTGCTGAGTCAATCAATTAGGCAGAATTGCAAACCGATATTCTGCCAGGGTTGGGGCACTGGGGACAAGGATCTGAGATGCTCGAGGCCTTTTACACTCCCCTACGGAGGTAACGCCGGCGTTGCCCACTTCGCCGCACTAAGCCACTCCTGGCACTGGCGGCAGGAGATCGCACTCGTGCAGGCTGCCAGCCATGCAGGGGAATACTCACCTGGAGGTTCTCAGTCACCCCTGTGGACTTTTTGTGGGTCGCCCTGATTCCATGGCCCAGCCGCGAAAACACCCATGCAACCCTGACTGGCGATGGGTTCTCGGGCTGAAACCATAGAACCCAGAGACTCCAACAAGCCAACGAGAGATGTCACACTCACACACACACAGAAAGCCGGCGACAAACAAAGCAGACAACAGACAAGTGGACAGTGAGGTAAACAGACAACCTAACCTGGTCTGGACCTACTCCCCGGTCTCCTCCTGACCGAGCCCTTGGTTACAAGGTCAGCTCCGGAGTCCAAACGAGGCCAGAGGATGTCTCCGCCTGGCTCCTACTGGCGACCCACCAGCGCATCCGCCTAGGTCCTGTGCTGGCGTCCTGATTCAGGGTCCTGCAAGGCGATTCCACGTCCCTTGCTCAACACCACACCCGGCTAGTCTGGGAGTGGATTTTCACACTCCTCCCTCAGCCCTGAATTCTATCCGGTAGTCTGTGGGGAAGGCAAATCCCGGACGAGCCCCCAAATGTTAGGGACCGACCTTCCACAGCCCCACCAATCAGAAAAGCAGAGACATCGAGGATGCAATCACACAAGAGGAGGTTTATTTTCTGGTTAGCCAGGGTCCAAGCCCCAGAGCGCCAACACAGTGGCCACTCTTGCAGGCAAGGACCTGCTACATTTTTCATATGTAAAAAGTACACCCAGAAACATGAAGGGGCCAAGAGATGTGCCCAGCAGATCATTTCTCGTCAGAGTGAGCCAGGTGTCTGAGCTGGTGCACCTCACTGCTGCACACACCTTGCTCACAAACCTACCAGACCAGAGATGAACATGCATAATTATGCTTGGACAACCCCTGTCTTTAGTGAGATCATGGCATTAATTTCCTTTATTCTTGTTTCCCCCAAATTTTGAGAGAACTAGTTTCATTTAGGTGTGTATCTAGGAGTCTCTGAATTTTCATGTGGTATTTTTCCATCTCTCTGTAACTTTCTATATGAAATAATACACTTCTGTTTTTAATATCTTCAATGAAGTATAACTGAAATACAATAATCTTCTAAAGTGTACAATTTGAAAAAGATTGACATAATCATCAGCATAATCAAGGTAGACTGTTAAGTGAATAACCCTCAACATGTGCATGTCTCTGTGCATGTGTGAGAGAGACAGAAGGTGGGACAGAAAAAGGGTTCCTACTTGGATGACTACAACTTACATAGTCCTTGAATAAGAAAAGGCATTGGTCCTTGATGACCACATAAGACAGAGATTACAAAGTAAGGTACCTAAATATAATTATGTATTTATAGAAATATTATTTTCTAATTATATATATTAATAATATCTAGAGCTACATCTATCTATTTTTTATCTAGTAGAATAGATTCAATGGAGGATATCCAATGGTTGTATATGATTGAGACGGGAAACCCCTTCCCCACTACCTCCCCCCTCTGGACCCAACTGCCCTGAGGCTGGAACCTGGACAATGCTGTCATGGGTCCCTGGCCCCCAGTGCTGATCCTGCCTGCCCCTAAGGAGAAGTTGGTGTCTAGGATCACACGGAAGTCCCATTTTGTGGTAACATGTCCCTCTCACTTTGTCCAGGACAGTCATACCTAGTGGTGTTGTTGGTGGTCATGGAGCTCACCTGCAGGTATGACTAGTTCTTGGATGTTGATCAGGACATGCTGACTCAGCTCTTGAGGTACAGGTTGTAATTTATGCCCCCTCATCATATAAGTTCCTGACCCACACCAGTCCCTTCCTCTGGGATTGGCAGACCCAGCCCCTGCAGTAACCACTGGGTGTGATGAAACATCCAGACACAGCACAGGTTGGGGAGTCTGCTAGGACACCCTGAGTCCTGAGCCTGACACCCAGAGTACACCTGGGACAGGATACCTGGGGACAAGGAGTATCTTTCCCTGTCAATTATGCATTGTCACAACCATCTCCCAGACCTGTGTCTCAAATCTGAGATGCTCACCTTGGGGACATAGCACCAGACAAAGAAGAAGACCCAACAATTTCATCTTTTTCTAGACCACAGCTCTGACTTCCTTAGAGTCCACATCCCCATCTGACTAAAGATGTGCTTGTATGCACAACCCCAAAGTGGATTCTGTACTAGCACCTGCCAAGGTCCATGCCTGTGATTGAGCCCTGTTTTTCTGAATGGAGAGGGACTGAGTTCAGGCTCCTATAGTCCTTCTGAGGCCCGTGGGTCATCTCTTCTTAGGAACATAAGTGGGGCTTCATGTTAGGACATGACAGTGCTTTTCCTGAGAGGGGTGTTGGGATCAGGTCTAAGGTTAGTCCAACCCAATGAACAAAATGCCACAACCTGCAATCCACTCCTGACCTTTGTTGGCCCCAGACCAACTCCTCCATCCACGCAGGCTCTGGGACTTCCCACTGAGTGGTGAGCACAATGAAGGTCCTGCTTTCTTTCCCTGGACCTTTTCTCAGACGTGGGTCTCATCTCCCCTGGGAGCCAGTTACCTCTTTACACTATTCTCACCTGAGTCTGAGGCATGACCCATGTTCCCTCATTCTCTGCATAATGATCGGATCAGAAATCATATGGTGGAAACACCAGGTGTCCCCGTTGTGCTCATCTGTTGCATACCCCACACCGTGCTTTCCTTATTTATTTTCTGAAATGGAATTCATATCCCACATGGGGTACACATTTGTCTATGGATGGGGAGCAGAAATGTGTCATCCTAGCTTACCTGTCCCAGGCAAGCTTGGAAACTCTGAGGCCTGCTCACCATCCAACTCCTCTGCAGGGCAGGCTAAGGTTACTGCCTGTGAGATCTGCAAAGATAATGATCATGATTGCAGGGCAGGCCTGCTCTTATCATATCCAAAGTGATTTCTCCTAGAGAAAATGTTAATAAACCACTCACCTGAGAGTCCATGTTTTCAGTTTTACTTCTAAGAAATGTACCTTAGACATGAAACTATTACCTGAGTATAAATTGCTTTAGAGAAAAGTTATCAGGATTCTTTTGTTTCATTCAGAGAACATTAGTTCCTTGTCTTATAGTTGAATTTGGATGTCACCTAGAATGGAAAGGGGATACTGACATAGCTAGGAAAGCATTTCCTATTCTCAGTGTTTCATCTGGCACTGGACTGCCCCCTTCTGTTCAAAGGGGAAGTATAGCAGGATGGACAAATGATATTGGGGATTATTAGGTAGTTATGGGAGATGCAGAAACAGCTGAAAGAGTGAACTGGTGAAGTAAATTGATTGGGCATGATGGCTCTGGGTGGTCCAGAGAGAGCTGAGAGACAGGAAAGGATTGCTGAGTAACTGAGGGTTTTGGCTTGGAGTCCAAGGCTACTCCCAGAAGGCTGATGCAGCATGGCCTTCACAGAGAAGGGAGACAATGCATTGGAAAGAGATTGGGGATAACAACTAAGTGACGGTTTTGAAACATTGCAAATAAGACCAATAGATTATTGAGGGCTTATAAAAGATGACAAAGCAAAAGAAAAAAGTAATGATCACTGGTTGAGAGACTATTGGAATGGGAAGTTGGTATGAATGCTGAAAGAGAGCAGTAAGACATAGTAAAAAATATTGAATAAATGATAGAGGCAGCAACACAAAGATAGTAAAAAACTTTGATATCCCACATGTAATGGTGGGTAGATTGTCTGGACAAAATAAATATGTAAATGCTGAACAGAAAAAAAATACTCTAGTCCCAAATGGACTGAACACAACGACATATCCCATGAGTGTTAGTTCCTTATGTGCACATTTGCATCTCATAATATTTTGAAATAGAAGGAAAGAAATACAGACAGCACCCCATCCAACCCCAGCAAAATACACATTAGGTTCAGTACACAAGAACACGCTCTAGGACAGACCATTTGTGAGCCCACAAAACAAATCTTATAAATTTAAGAACATTAAAATTATACCCCTCATATAGTTCAACTGAAATGGTATGAAAATGGAAGTGAATGAAGGAATATTCTAAAACTGAAAATATGTGGAAATTAAACCACCCTTTGGAGAACAACCAGTGTACCAAAGAAGAAATCAATATGGATTTCTCCTACACTGCTGGTGGGACTGAGAAGAGAGAGATTCGATGGTGGGGAAAGCGCTGAGCAACACACTATTCTTTTATCATCCCACCGTCGAAGCACATCATCATCTACACAACTACAGCATGACTCAGCAGAAGTTGTAGATGAGCCAAATTATTATTTACATATTTAGATATGGAAGTTCACATCACCACAGAAATCTGAATTCGCGGACAGTACTCAGGGGGAACAGAGACCAGAGGATTAGCACAGGCACAGTCATACCAGCACGGCATGTGGTTAGAATACGTCTATACTGACATAGTATTGGATACAGGATCTCGGCTTTGGTAAGGGATTATAAAAATATAATACATTTCCAGGGAAATCACATACATTTGAGGAATATAAATATTCGATTTACTCGAGAGCCAATATTCACTCCAGGTTCGGGGCAGAACTGCTCACACAGGATGGTGTCTCACAGCAATGGCTTTCTTTCGAGAGAGAGGGACGAACACACTTTCCTGCAATGCTTTCAGACCCACCCTCTCCTGTCTCATACAGCTCTATAGAATTACACCATTACGAGGAACAAGAGACAGAAATCAAGTGTCTAGCTCACAGGGGAATCACAGGAATGAGGAGTGGAAGAGATGTCCACCATCAAAAATTATGCTCAGAATCTTACCCTCGGCGGTTTTCTAAATATAATATCATCATCTAATCACAAAAACCCACATGAAAGCTTTCTGATTTCTGCCTATTTGGATACTTTATTCTTTCTGATCTGGATTGCTGTAGCCGGCCTTCAGTATGATGTTGTAAGTGGCATGTGGAGCTTGTCTGGTTCGGTTCTACAGTGGATGCTTTCAGTTTTTTCATTCAGTATGATTATTAGCTATGTTAGATCATAAACTGAGCTTGTACTCCATATAATTTAGATACTGCCACACAATCCTTCTATGCTATTCATTACTTGAGTAGATTCGTATCATAGAAAGGTGATTGATTTTTGTCAAGCTTTTCTGCATCTATATGAGATCATAGTGTCTTTGTTTTTGGCTCTGTTTATGTGGTAATTGCCATTTATACGATTGCCTGTATAACTTCAACAACCAGTTGGGTCGCCATTGGTCATGATGGATTATATATTTATTTTGATAAGCGTCTGGATTTCGGTTAGCTAAGATTTTGTTAAATTTTTCGCTCTTCTCTAGGGATATCCTGGTCTGGTCTCTTCTTTTTCTTGTTGGATTTTTCAAGCTGTGGAACAGCCAAGTGCCATCAATCCAAGAAGGATTATAAAATGTGGTATATGGTATCTCTGGAGTTCTATCTCAGCTTCTAAGACAACGTGATTAGCACATCTTATATTCTTCTGCGTTAGAGCTGGAACCATACTACTAAGTGCAGTATCCAAGAATGGACAGACCAGAATATACTCGTTCCAGCAAACTGCGTTCTGCGCTAGCACTTAAGTGACACATAGGTGCTACAGTAATAGGGTATAGGGAAGGGGGAGGGGGGGGTATTACCATACATACCATGAGTGACCAGCATGTGCACCATCCTCGGGGGATGTCATGATGGAGACTCAGACTTTTGGGGGAAGGGGGGGAAATGGGCATGGTATCATGAAACCTTCAAAATCTGTACCCCCATAATATGCCCAAATCAAAAAAAAAAAATTATGCTCAGAAACACTCTTCTGGTCCATCATGGGCCAGGCTTGCTTCTTCAGGGACAGGCAGCAAATCGCGAAGCTTGAAAAGGTAATGGAGAACTGCCTAAGCCTGTGGAGACCCAACAGGAAAAGAAAATGCTTAGGAAGGATACCGCGGAGGCTTTGTGGACGGACCAGCCGCAACAATGTAAAGGCACGGTGCAGCCACCAGAGCACGATGCCTGCTCGCGCTCAGGGAGGACGCGAACGTCGCCTCAGGTTTCTAACATCGCAGCAACTGTCAATAAATGCATAACTGGGACTAACTGGGCCGCTCGCACAATAGCTTATCTAAATAGGGGTGTAACAGAGCCAGGCAGAAAACATACCTATTATCAGGTGGCAGGTGTCTAAAGCATTTTTTGCTCGATAGCAGCAGAAAATTCGAACACCGGACCCCACCTTCAACAATAAATTCCATGCAAGACTGACTACCGCTCTAAACTTGCATAGTACCACGGCCAGGACAACAAAGGTGTGCGCCTCTCAGGAGAACGTCTCGCGTCGCTAGCAATAAGTGCGCAACCATCAAACACGAGAAGTCTGCTTACATGGGAAAAGTTATAGGGTGTCCCTAAATCGGCACAACCAAAAGTCATAAGGGACAACACCCTTATCGAGAATGAGGTTCAATCGCATGACAGATTTCAGGAATTGTCTTAAGTAGGAAATGCAAAGGGACTATTTATTATTAATGTGTTAAAACATTGAAGGGAACATAATTATTTAGAAAACAAGATAATTAACCTTAGGTTAAAAATGGGGATCTTTGAAGAAAGAGAGAAGTGAAATTCCATCAGACGTCATTAAAGAGCAACTCAGATACACAGCCAGGTCGTCCAACTTCATAAGAAATCATGCAGTTGAAAATAGATGCAAGGAACTACACCAGCAGAATACAAAGGAAAAGAATCAATGGAGACAAGAATCAGTATCAAATAATGTCATAATTATACATAAGATTGGAATCGCCCAAAGTACGAAGTCAAACAGACCAGATATCGGAAAATACCACTGAGAAAAATGTCACACAACAATTCTGAACTATAATGAAGATATAAATCACTAGATTAAGATGTAAGAGGCATATTCAACCATGAGAAACAATAACACACTAACATACAACCCCACTACTGATATCATACCTTGTGCATATCAAAATACTTAACAACGGCCCACTCACAGGAACACCCATATCCCCTCTCTATTTTATTTTTAATTAACTGCAATTACATTTCGGTAATATTTCACAGCATGAGATAACAAAAGTCATTTAAATCTTGTATTATCTATGTGTATGTTCCATAGCTAATTCCAACCCCAACCAAATGCAATACCTATTTAAGCACAATCCTTTTTGTTAAAACTAATGAAAATAATTCATGTGGCAGATAAGGATTGGGAAAGTACAAGCGGCATTGAGATTCTAGCTCATGATGATCATACATTATATACTAGATGAACCAATGAACAAACCTTTCATAAACTAAGGGCTATACCAAGAGAATGTTACACAGCACCAAGGCTGCAGGAGGAACTCTGAGAAGGCCTTGGTCCAACTCACCACTGGCTTGAGCCAATGCAACCTGGCTGACAGAGTCTACAACCCAAGTCTAATCCAGGGAGCACAGGTGACACAGAGAACCAAATCCATCACTTCATTGCAACCCCTGAGTGCACACCCCCGCAGGGACAGCAGAAAACGCAGTTCACCTCTGCAACCAGGAGAAACAGGCAACAATGGGACAGTATTAGTCCTCCACTCCTGAGAGAGAGCCAGAGGTGGGGCTGCTGCCACCAGCACCAGGGTGTTCGTGGGGAGCATGCGTCAGCTGCAGAACACGTCAGGCTTCAGTGAGAATGTGGACAATTGAACTGATTCACCCGGTGTCCGAAGGGACAGAAAAGGGGACTGCTGCCGCCATCTGTGTGAATATCCAGGGAGACCAGAGAGTTGACCAAACATGCAGCAGGAGGAGCCATCTGAGGGTGGACGACCAGGACCAGGTGGAGGGGAGCGACACACACTGAAATGACGGGT